GTGGCGGCGTCGATGAAGGTGATGGTGTAGTTGTGGTTGACTTGTCCTGGTTCGCGATTGTAGAGGATGTCGCTGTAGACTTTTTCGAGTGGTGCGTATGCTGGAGCGCTCGGGTTGTGATGTGAAGCAAACGGTCGATGAGGTAAGTCAGCTTCGGGACATATAAGGCAAGTCCCTCGTGCCTTCTGGAGTTCTCTGCCATCGGGTAGAAGTAGAGAGTCTTTGTCGAGGACTCCTGCTCTTATCGTGTTATTCAAAACCGTGTTGCTTGGATGTCCTATGCGTGCGTGCCAGATCTCTTCAGAGGCGCGGTGTCCGGGTGAACGCTGATATGCGTCGGAGTTGGAGTAAAAGTTGGCGACGAGGTTGGCGCTTCGGTGGACTTCACGTTGAGTCGGATTCAGCTGTTGCGCGGGTGTTGGTGGTGCTTCGTCGACTGTGACTGGTGTCGTTGTTCCTGCTGCTGCTGATGTTGTTGCTGCTGCCGATGTTGTTGCTGCTGCCGATGTTGTCGTCTCTGCTGATGTTGTCTCCTCTGCTTCTTGTTGAATCGTTGCTAACGCTCTTGTTCGTTCTGCTTCAGGGATAGTGTGGGAGTACCAGAAACCTCCCGGGCTGAAGTCGGGGTCGAGATCCGGAGGGTGTGTCCAATCAGCAAAGTTCACAATGGCGTCGCTGTCTGCAGTGCCGAGGTCGGGAGCGAAGTCGAGGACGAAGACGTTGTTCTTCAGCACTGCTTTCCCGATGTAGAGACCGCCTCTCCCGTGGTAAAGCTTGAACTCCTGGGTCGTGCTGTCGGCTTCCAGATGAATTCCTTTCGCCATCAACTGGCTAACGCTCAGTAAGTTGTAGCCGAGTCCTTCAGCGATGAGTACCTTAGACATGTGCAGTATGACATTTGTTTCTCTTGACTGAAGCTGTACCACTCCTTGTCTTCGTGTGCGCAGGTTTTGGTTGTTGGCAACCGTGATGATCACTTCCCGTTGGAGTCGATGTTCGCGTTGTACGAAACGCCCGGACGAGCACATGTGTTGCCCGCAGCAACTGTCCAAGAACCAGGTGTCTTGGCCGGACGGTTCACTTTGAGCGATAGCGGCGTAAGTCGGATTTGGATGGAGTGATTCGCGACGAGGCGTCCTGTTGTCGAGCTCCTCTTCCGGTGAGTAATGGGGTGGTGACTCTGTTGTGCAAGAGTCGTTTATCTTGACCATGCAGTTGACTATATGTCTTGCTCCTTGCGCAGGTTGTCCAGTTGAGGTTGTTGAAGCTTGAATCGTGGTTGTTGAACTTGCTTGTGTCGAAGCAACTTGGGTGCTTGAAGGTCGCAGTTGTCGCTGTGGTGTTGTCTGTCGAGACGGGCAGTGCGTGCGTGGGTGTCCTGATGTCTTGCAGATGTGACAAAATGGAGGTACTAACTTCGGCTGCTGCTGTCGATTGTTGTAGTAGTTGTGTCGTCGCTGAGTATTGAAAGCAAACTCCGGTGCTAATGTCCTTTTCTTGTGTCTTTCTTCTTGCAGGTCCATATCCTGCTGCTCGGCGTGAATTTCTGCGCAAAGTGCCGCTTCGGAGATCCTCCCGTGTGCTCGAAGAATTGCTTTGGTGGCGCGCCACTGAGGACCGAGGCCGCCGATGACGACTGTTACGAAGGCGTCTTCAGAGATTGACCCTCCACATCGAAGAAGCTTGTCGCGCAATTCGCGATATCGGCTGATATACGCCAACCCTTTTTCTCCTGGTTTCATTTCAACTGTTGTCAGCTGCGCCATTAACCTGCTCTGGTTTACACTGTCTGTTGCCTGGTACAGGTTCTTCAGATGGCCGTACGCGAGTTCCGTTGAGTTGCCGAAGTTCCGGTAAGAGCGAATGTTCTGCTGCTGGGTTGGTGTGATGTTTCTTAGTAGAATAGTATACGCCATCATGGATTGATACGTATACTGCTGCTTTTCATACTGTGTCCCGTTTGCTGGATACTGCAGGGATCCGTCGAAGAAACCGAGTATCTGCGCGCCCTCCATCATCAACTCGAATTCAAAGGACCAGGTAAAGAAGTCTTTTCCGTCGAAAGGTCTTGACGTCTGTAGTTTCAGAACATGCGCGAACTGCGACTGTACTTGTAAGGCATCCATTGGTTTGTCTTGCGCAGGTGGAGGTTGAGGCAGGAAGCTGATCGACCCGCGTTCGTACGGGGCGAAGGTGGGTTGCTGCTGTTGATTCCCTCGCGCGTATGACGACCCGTCAAGGCTCATGGGTGTCGCTCCGTTGTTGCTGTTGTGTGTCTGTGCAGGTCCCGACTGCTGGTGTTGCTCGTAGAAGGACATGAAGGAGAAAAATTTCTCCATCATGCTCTGGTCGAAGTCAGAAGGATGGTTCGTGGGGGTCTCGGTTGACGTTCCCCTTGGTCTTGCTGCCGTGCCTTCCTCTGTCTGCAGGCCAGAGGCTGGCGGTGGAGTAGGAGTAGTGCCCGAGGAGCCATTAGGGGAGCTCCTTTCCTTGTTTGTTGCCATGTCTTGTAATGATCAAAAGGTTAGAGTTTTCCTCTGTCAGCTCTCATACCATGTTGGGCTGAGAAATAGCCCTTAGGATCTTTGCAGAGGAGAACTCTTGGGTAGAAACTTGTAATAGCGGAAGCGTTTTAATGAGGATTGTGAACCGACCTTGCACTGGTGTGTGAGAGCAAAGTAGATTGAATTGAACAAGCAAATACAAGGATTTATATAAGAGTACAGGGAATACGAATAGATAGATAGATAACTGTATTGCTGTTGCGGTTCGATACAGTGCGACTCGGGCAACTGCTCTGTAACGAGTCAGTTGTGTGTCCTTAACTGTCGCGCTGTAATTGTCGAGTCAAAGGTCAGCGACCTTTGACTTTCTCGTAACCTCCAGGCGGTTACCCTAACCTCCGAGGTTGACTCGATGCTTCGATTGGGACTGCTTCGCTTGGTGCCTTGGGTCTTGGTACGACAGAAGCGCACTTAGGACTTATTGTTTCCAACAGCCTCGACGCTTGTTGGTGATTATTTGGCGCGACGTCGTGTCTCGGCTATTCACTACCTTTCTTAAGGGGGGGGGGGGGGTGGTGTAATGAATTTTCCCGAATTCCTTATCGGGGTTGAGTGATTCGCGTACAACCCGATTTTCGGAGTTCGCACGTTCGGCCGATTTCAACGCTGCTGAGGCTCCTCACGTCGCCTTCGGCTTTCTCATCGCCAAACCTGCACCCAACCTCGCTCGTCCGAGGTTCTCTCCTAGCTAGAGTAGTTCTATATTAGTCTGGGCATTCATTGTATTCGCAGTTGATTCAGTCACAGCTTCGTTATTCGTTTACCTGCGCACTCTCTTTTACAACTCATAACAAGGCAGATAAACAGTGCTGTACGCACTTTGCAGGGCAATGCAATGCAACACAGGCGCAACAATCGATATTAACTTTCCATGATAGGAACTACCGGTGCCAACACAAGCTCAACTGCGGTAGCTCATTCGTCACATGGTTGATTGTTATACAGTCTGACAAACAATCATTTTCTTTGGGGAGGTTTGCGACACGTTGCCGGGTTCGACGGACGGGCAGGTTAAAACTGCGACCTGGAGTTTGCTTGACGGTATGGCTGGCGATGACTGCGGATTTGCCGTCGATGGGTCTGGTTCGGGCGGATTGCATCCGTCTAGTCCGTGACCGTTGCTGCGAAATGTTTATTCGTGTCAGTCAGCGGTTCGATTCGCATTGCGTCAGTGGTACCCGACGCGGATGACGCGAGGCGGCGCGTCAAAATCATCGGCTGGTGGGCAGGTGCCGTTGAGCCTCAGCCAGCGCCAGCCGCTTTGTGTGGTGGTTTCATTCACGAGGAACATTTTGACATGTTCCATTCCATGCCGAACCGTCCCAACCAGTATGTGCGAGGTTTGGCTGGCTGCGCTGCGCAACATCCGGGCACGGCGGAGGTCTGCGGCTTGGTTCGGCTCGGGTGGTTCGGAATGGGGCACATGGCATGGCGTGCGTTGACTCTCCCGCCATCCTTGGCATTCCGCCAGGCCCACACCCAAACACAGAATGGTTGCTCTCCTAGGCAGAGCTCAGCTGAAGTGAAGCAGAGCTGAGGGAACGAGTATCCATGGTCTTCCACACCAAGTTTCACATGCAAGTGCTGGAAGTAAGCTTTCATGGAGGCCTAGGAAGTTAGAGCTTTATTACAGTATTCAAGTTGTGGGGCGCGTTAGTCGTCTACCTGGAAAAAGTGATAAGTAGCCGAAATTGGTCCGAGAGAACTCCTTCTATGCTAGCTCGGTTTTCAATATTGACAGCAAAAGTCGTGGTTGTAGGACCATTTGTCAAGCGCGTGAGCAGTTGATTTGCATCGCCAAATTCAAGGTAAGAATATCTGGAGGGGCAAGCAGGACCAGAGAACGTGAGGGCCAGAAATGTGAACGGATCGATAACAGGAAGTCCACGGCAATAGGCAGGCGCGAACTTACTAGTGGTGATCGCGGCTCGAATGTCAGGCATGGAAGATTTGCAGCTTGGGTAGAGGCCAAGCCGTCGCGGCAGGTTCAGCGCAATACTAGGTCTCTGCTTTCGCTCCGCTACGTCTCTACATCTCCGTCCAGCCTCACTTTCCTTTTCACCTCTGAAACCACTACCGTTCTGCTTACTCCTTTTCGCTTCGAAGAACGAGCACGAGTGCAGTCGTGAAGTATGCTATTCCCCTGTTCATGATCCTCTGAAGCTTAGCCTCCTCGCCTGGCCGCCTTGTTGCCTTCTCCTAGTGAGCCATCATCAGGTCGCTCCAATGGGTGTTTCTCCCTCATCCTCTCCTTCGCCGTCCATGTGTTCCCCGCGTCGCCCTCGTTTTGTCCGTTCACTAACACTTCAACGTCCTGTCCTTTTTCTCCCTTGCCAGTGAAACATTCGTCCACCTCACCACTGCGACTGACTCTGCTTGCATGGCATGGCGTTTCGCGCTTCCACTCTCGCCGTGCCACTGACCCTGGCTTCAGACATGGAAGCAGCACCTGGTTCTTCCGCCGCTCTTCGCGGCCAGCTAGCAGACATGGGATTTAGGGAAGCGGAAAGCATAGTGGGAAGTAGGTCGGGCACGGGGGGCGAAGGGCGGGATCAGCAGTCAGCGATGGTACTGGCGGCGGTGGCGGAGTCGATAGAGATGCTGCGCACGGCGGGCAGCGATGCGGACGAGAAGGAGCGCGTCGCTATGCAGCTCAGCCAGCTGGCGGAGACCAGCGTGGATGCGCGCGCGGCCATCGGCTACCACGCGCAGGCCATTCCGCTGCTCGTGGGACTCGTGCGCTCGGGTACGTTGCCTGCGCGCACGCATGCGGCGGCAACTTTGGGGGCGATCTGCGACGAGCAGGAGCTGCGCGTGAAGGTGCTGCTGGGGGGTTGCATTCCGCCCATGCTGGCGCTGCTGCGCAACGGCCCCAAGGACTCGCAGATGGTGGCGGCGGAGGCGCTCTTCGCCATGTCCAAGGCGGGCTCCGGGCGCGATGCCGTGGGGTCGCGCATCTTCGCGTCGGAGGGCGTGGTGCCGGCGCTGCTGCAGCAGCTGCAGAAGCACGCGGGCATCCACCCGGACGTGCTGGGGCTCGTCACGGGCGCCATGCGCAACCTGTGCTACGCCGTGCCGGGATTCTGGCGCACGGTGGAGGCGGCGGGCGGCGTGGAGATCTTCACGAGCATGCTCTCCATGGGGCGCCCCGCCACGCAGGAGAACGCCGCCGCGCTGCTCACCAGCTTCCTCACCAGCCCCTACCTCGCGCACCCCAATGCGGCCGCCGCCGCCGCGCAGCAGCAAGCCAAGGGCAAGACTCCAGCGGCAACAGTGGCGGCAGCAGCGGCGGCAGCGGCGGCGGCAGCCATGGAGGGCGGAGAAGGGCTGGAGGAGGCGGCGAAGGCGGCGGCGAGAGTGGTGGAGGCTGGAGCCATTCCGCCGCTCCTCGCGCTGCTGCAGCCGGGTAGGGAAGTGGCGGTCAGGACAGAGGCGGCTGGGGCGCTGCGCGCAATCTCAGCAGTACATGTGGCGGCTCGGGAGAAGATTGCGGCGGCTGGGGGAGTGGGCATGCTGATCCGCGCGACGATGGCGCCGTCGGCGGAGATGATGCAGACGGGGTACGCGCAGGTGCTGCAGGAGAACGCCATGGGCGCGCTCGCCAACATCGCGGGCGGCAAGGCGGAGGTCGTCGCGTCGCTGGCGGCGGCCGTGAGCAGCGCGCACTCGGATCGCGAGCTGGCGGACAACATCGGCGCGCTGGCGTACGCGCTGATGGTGCTGGACGACGACGACGACGACGACGGCGCGGCGGACGACGGCGAGGGCGGGGATGGCGGGAGCGGAAGCAAGGTGGACGCGGAGGGCATCGAGCGCGCGCTGGTGGAGAAGCTGAGCCCGCTGCGGCCGGCGTCGGCGCTGGTGCAGGAGCGGTCGATCGAGGCGCTGGCGAGTCTGTACGGCAACAGCGTGGTGGCGCGCGGGCTGAGCAACGCGGAGGGCAAGCGCATGCTGGTGGGGCTCGTGACGCTGTCGCCCACCGACGCGCAGGCGGAGCTGGTGGAGGCGCTGTTCAACGTGTGCGTGCAGGGCGCGCCGCTGTGGAGCGCGCTGCACGGGCGCGAGGGCGTGCTGCAGCTGGTGGGGCTGCTGGGGCTGTCGACGGAGGACCAGCAGGAGTGCGCGTGCGCGCTGCTCGCCATCCTCTCGCACGAGGAGGACGAGAGCAAGTGGGCCATCACCGCCGCGGGGGGCATTCCCCCGCTCGTCTCGCTGCTGGGGACAGGCACCGCCAAGGCCAAGGAGGACGCTGCGGAGTTGCTGGGTAACCTGTGTTCCTACAACGAGGATATTCGCGCGTGCGTGGAGACGGCGGACGCGGCCCCCGCGCTGCTGCATCTGCTGGGCAGCGGGTCGGAGAGGGGTCAGGCGGCGGCAGCGCGCGCTCTCATGCGCCTGGTATCGGGCGGCAGCAGCGGCGCGAGCAGCGCGATCGGGCAGCTGACGGGCATTCTGGTGGCGGAGGTGCCGGAGTCCAAGGTGCACGTGCTGCGCGTGCTGGGCCAGCTGCTCGCCGACTCGCCCGACGCCGCCCACGACGGCACCGCGGCAAACGAGGCGCTTCAGACGCTCGTCGCGCTCGTCGAGTCGGAGCGCGAGGAGACGCAGGAGAGCGCGGCGGCGGTTCTGGCGAATCTGTTTGCGGCGCGGGAGGATTTGCGCGAGGGGCCGGTGGCGGCGGAGGCGATTCCCCCCCTGGTGCGGCTGGTGGACGACGGCGGCGAGCCCGTGGCCATGCAGGCAGCGCGCGCGTTGGCGGCGCTGTTCTGCTCCATCGACAGCAACGAGGAGGCGGCGCACGCGGCGAGGGCGAGCATCTTCCCGCTGGTGAAGCTGGCGCGCGCGCGCGAGATGGCGGTGGCGGAGGTGGCGACGACGGCGCTGGCGAACCTGCTGGCGAACCCCGAGCTGGCGCTCATGGCGCCCGCGGACGAGGTCGTGCTGCCGCTCTCGCGCCTGCTGCGCGAGGGCACGCCGCACGGCAAGGAGCACGCGGCGGGCGCGCTGGCGCACCTGCTGCACTCGCGCGCGCTGGACGAGGAGCTGGCGGAGAGCATCCGCCAGTGCAGCACCGTGCTCGCGCTCGTCGCGCTGCTCGCCGTCGGCGCCAGCGAGGACGCGTCCATGGCGGCGCTCGAGGCGCTGGCGGCGCTGGCGCGCGCCAAGGCGCACAACTGGGGCGGGCAGGCGCCGCTGGCGGTGCTGTCGGAGGTGCCGTACTCGATGGGTCCGCTGGTGGCGGTGCTGGCGGGGGGCACGGCGGGCATGCAGGAGAAGGCGGTGGAGGTGCTGTCGCGGCTGTGCAAGGACCAGCCCGTCACGCTGGGCGACATGATCGCCGGCACCGACAACTGCGTCGCCGCGCTCACCGCGCGCATCACAGAGGCGGAGAGCCTGGAGGTGAAGGTGGGCGGCACGGCGCTGCTGATCTGCGCGGCGAAGGAGCACCGCGCGGCGACGATGGCGGCGATGGAGGCGGCGGGAACGCTGCAGGCGGTGGTGCGGTGCCTCGTTGACATGCTTGCAGCGCAGCAGCAGTCGCGCGAGCAGCAGCAGGCGGAGGAGGGCGACGGGGAGGCATCGGCGGAGGCGCTGGTGAGCAGCGTGGCGTTGTGGCTGCTCGCCGTCATGGCGTCGCACGACCACCCCACGCGCGCGCTCGTCGCCGCCGCGGGCGCCGTCGACGTGCTGGTGGACCGCCTCTCCGCGCTGTCGGCGGACGGGGAGGAGGCGGACGACCTGGGGATGGATGGGGACGGCGCGGAAGGGGGAGACAGCGGGGGGGCGTGGGTGTGCGCGTTGCTGCTGGCGGTGCTGTTCTGCAATCGCGACGTCGTGCGCTCGCCCGTCGCGCTCAGGGCCATTCCGCCGCTCGCTTCGCTGCTCACCTCGCCCGACCCCTCGCAGCGCTACTTTGCATCGCAGGCCGTCGCGTCGCTCGTGGCGAGCGGCAGTCGCGGCACGCTGCTCGCCATCGCCAACAGCGGCGCCATCCCGCTGCTGCTCGCGCTGCTGGGCCGCGCAGAGGCGGACGTGGCGCACCTGCGCGCGCTGGCGGACGACTTCGAGCTGGCGGGCAGCCCGGAGCAGGTGGCGCTGGAGAAGCTCTTCCGCTGCGACGACATCCGCGCGGGCCGCCACGGCAGCGTGGTGGTGCCGCAGCTGATCGCGCTGCTCACGCCCAACGCCGACCAGCCCAGCGCGCCCGCCGTCGCCATCGGCCTGCTCACGCAGCTCGCGGCCGGCAGCAGCGCGAACCGCGTCGCCATGGCGGACTACCGCATCCTCGAGGCGCTCACCACGTACCTCACGCTCGGCCCGCAGGTGCGCCGCGCGCTTCCCCCCCTTGCGTTGCCTCCCCCCTGTTGCTTGATATCCTCGAGCTTCGCACATTCCACCCCACCTGTGCTGCTGCCTCCTCACCCCCTCATCACTCATTCCCCAATGCCCATCCAACCCCACGCGCCCTTACTTCCCCTCTCCCCCGTGCAGGAGGCGATGGAGGCGGCGGCGGTGGAGCTGCTGCGGGTGCTCTTCCAGGCGGACGACCTGCGCGTGCACGCCGCCGCGCCCGCCGCCATGGACCAGCTCGTCGCCGTGCTCCGCGTGGGCTCCCGCGCCGCGCGCCTGCCAGCAGCATCGGCGCTGGAGGCGCTGTTCGCCGTCGACGCGCACCGCGCCAGCGACGCGGCGCTGCACGCGCTGCACCCGCTCGTCGACATGCTGGGCAGCGGGGCGGGCGCGGAGGCTGCTGGCGGGGCTGCTGGAGGCGGCGCTGTGGAGGCGGAGCAGCGGGCGGCAGCGGCGGCGCTGTGCCAGCTGGCGCAGGGCAACGTGGGGCGCGTGCTGCAGGCGTGCGAGGAGGGCGGCATCCCCCTCATGGCCACCATCCAGCGCCTGCTTGAGGCGCCCGACAATCAGCCAGCTGGCGGAAGCGGCGGGTACGACAAGGCGGCGGCGGAGGTGAAGGCGACGGCGGTGGAGCTGCTGCAGACGCTCTTCTCCTTCCCTCGCGCTCGCTCGGGCCCCGTGGCCGCCGCGCTGATCCCGCCGCTGGTGGTGCTGCTGCTGCACCCGTCGCCGTCGCTGCAGTACCGTGCGGCGGGCGCCGTGGACGCGGTGATGGACGACGAGCAGCAGGCCAACGTGGTGGCCTCATGCAGCGCCGTGGCGCCGCTCGTGAGCCTGCTGGAGGGCGAGCGGCACGGGCTGCACGCGGCGGCCAGTAGTGCGCTGTTCAAGCTGGCCAAGGACCGGCGGCAGTGCAAGCTGGACATGGCGGCGGCGGGCGTCATCGAGCGCATCATTGCCATCTTCCCCTCCGCGCCGCTCGCCCTCTGCTCGCTGCTGGCGGAGCTGCTGCGCGTGCTCACCAACAACTCCACCATCGCCAAGGGCGCCGCCGCTGCGCGCCTCGTGGGGCCCGTGTTCGCCATGCTGCGCCACGCGGAGCTGTCCCCTGCGGCGCAGACAAGTGCGCTGCAGGCGCTGGTGAACGTGCTGGAGAAGCCCGGCCGCCTGGAGGCGCTCGACCTGCCGCCCAGCGACGCCATGGAGCCGCTCGTGCCGCTGCTGCTCTCGCCGTCGCTGGTGGTGGCGCAGCTGGCGGCGGGGCTGCTGGCGCACGTGCTCACGCTGGAGGCCTTCCACAGTGACGGCATCACCGCCGCCGCCGCCGCCCCGCTGGTGAGGCTGCTGGGCAGCGAGCTGGAGTCGCTGCGCACCGAGGCCCTCAAGGCGCTCGAACTCGTGTCCGCCTGCTGGCCGGGCGCCATCGTGGAGGCGGGCGGCATCGACGAGCTGTCTCGCCTGGTGGCGACGGCGCCGCACCCGATGTGGCAGATGGCGGCGACGGTGCTGGCGAACGTGCTGCGCGCGCATGACAAGTGCGCGGTGCAGGTGCCCGTGCCCGTGCTCGTGCGCCTGCTCATGGCCAACACCGAGCCCGTGCAGGTCGTCGCGCTCTCCGCGCTGCTGGCGCTGGAGCGCGAGGACCCGGCGCGGGGGGACGAGATGGCGCGCATGGGCGTGGTGGACGCGCTGCTGGAGCTGCTGCGCTGCCACCAGGTGGAGGAGGCGGCGGCGCGCCTGCTGGAGGCCATCTTCAACAACGCGCGCGTGAGGGACTCGCAGACGGCGCTGCGCTCCATCGCACCGCTGGCGTCGTACCTGCTGGACCCCAACTCCGCCGACCCCAACGCCAAGCTGCTGGCGGCGCTGGCGCTGGGCGACCTCTTCCAGGAGACGAGCGTGGCGCTCAAGACGGTGGACCTCACGGGCGCATGCCGCGCACTCGTGGCGCTCATGGCGGAGCGCGCGAGTGAGGACCTGGTGATGGTGGCGCTGTGCGGGCTGCAGAACCTGGTGGCATCGTCGCGCGCCAACAAGCGCGCCGTGGCGGACGCGGGCGGGTTCAGCGTGCTGGTGGAGCTGCTGACAGGCGGGTCGGCGGAGGTGACGTCGCAGGCCGCCAACCTGGTGCGGCTGATGCTGAACAACCACACGGTGCAGGAGTACGCGACGCCGGAGCTGGTGTCGTCCATGACAGGCGTGATCGAGCGTGAGCTGTGGAAGACGGCGAGTGTGAACGAGGAGGTGCTGCAGGCCATCGAGGGGCTGCTCGCCACCTTCTCCCGCCTGCGCTTCAGCGAGTGCGCCACGGCCGCCATCCCCGTGCTGGTGGGCGCCATGAAGGTGGGCAGCGAGGTGGCGCAGGAGACGGCACTGAACGTGCTGTGGCTGCTGCGGCAGGGGTGGGCGCAGAGCAAGGAGATGGCGCGGCTGCAGTCCATAGCCATGGGCGACACCATCCCCGTGCTGCAGCTCATGCTGCGCTCCGGCCCCATCAACCTGTACGAGAAGGCGGAGACGCTGCTGTCCGTGCTGCCGGGCAGCCTGTCGGTGTGTGTGAAGCGCGGCTCCAACCTCAAGGCGTCCATGGGCGCCACCAACGCCTACTGCAAGCTCACGCTCGCCGACACCCCCGCCAAGGTCACCAAGGTCAGTCACTCACTGCACACGGCGCGACGCCCAGGGGCAGCGGGCGGGGCACATGGGGTATGGGGATGCTGGTGATGGGGGTAGTTCTGGAGCAATCACAAAAGGAGCACTGTAATCAGCAATTGTCTCTGCTCTCACCGTAACCCTCTGAACGCTTGATCTGCCATCTTAGTTTGTTGGGCCGTGTTGTGTGTGGTGTGGGATGTGGTGTGTGCTCCTCCATGGCATGGCAGGTGGTGAGCGGCACGTGTGACCCCGAGTGGAAGCAGACCTTCACATGGCCGCTGGACGCCCCTCCACGCGGGCAGAACCTCCACATCTCGTGCAAGAACAAGGGCACCATCGGCACCGTGAGTTACCAACTGCTGCACTCATGTGCCCCGGTATGGGCTGCTCCACGTGTGTTCCATTTCCAGCATGCTCCGTGTCTCATTCCCTTGACTTCTGTGCACTGTGGTGTGTTGGGCGTGCTGTGTGTGTGTGTGTGTGTGTGTGTGTGAGTGTGTGTGTGTGTGCTGTGTGTGTGTGTGAGTGCTGTGTGTGTGCTGTGTGTGTGTGTGTGTGTGTGCTGTGTGTGTGTGCTGTGTGTGTGCTGTGTGTGTGTGTGCTGTGTGTGTGCTGTGTGTGTGTGTGTGTGCTGTGTGTGTGTGTGTGAGTGAGTGAGTGATGGCAGAGCTCACTGGGCAAGGCGACGATACAGATAGACCGGGTGGTGGCGCTGGGGATGGTGTCCGGGACATACGTGCTGCAGCCAGAGGGCAACCGAGACGGCACGCAGCGCACCATCGATGTCGACTTCATCTGGTCCAACCGCTGATGCCCCTCACGCCCCTCCCTCCACCCACCCACCGCTGATGCTGCTGCCACTTACCCACCCTGTATGGTGTCAGCATTGGCTTGACGTTGTGATACCCAGGGTGCCCGCCAATGCATCTTGTGGCACTTGCAGTCCATCTTGTGTTGCCCCCCTCGCTCTCTGCCGCCGCTGCTCCCTCTCTGCCACCCCACCGCCTGCTTGCACGCCCCAACATACACACCAGCTGCTGCCACTCATTCACATGTCTATAAGGCGCTATACTGCCATGCAAATGCGTGCCAATTCTGCCGCTGCCACCATTGGTGCAACGGACCACCATCAACAGCCTGAGCCATGAATACTGGTCGTGCTGGGGCCGTGCTCAACACGCAGGCGGCTCCAGCCCGCCGCACGGCTCACAACACGGCAACCAAGCTTGTAGACAGTCTGCTGTAGCCGGCCCTACTGGGCTACCATTAGCAAATCTACTCGTGCAGCATGCGCATCCCCCCTGGTGCTGAGCAACAGCGAGACGACCAGCTTTTAGTCAGAACCGTAGTTTAGAGAGACTCCCCATTTTATGAAGCATGTGTGAGCTGCCTAATGGCAGGAGAACACAGCACACATTGCACACAGCTGCCTAAGGAATTCATGTGGTGCCTTGATAAAAGTTAGCCTTGTAAGTGTGCTTCTACACTACATTGCACTGCAGCTAGTGCGACTCAATCTAAGAACACTAAACATGCTACAAACTTGCAGATTTTGAACCTGACTAGAGGCATGCAGGCAGTGTGGGGGATGTAGTTGGCAGATGTCAGGCGCCCATTGGTTGAACCATAAAGAGTAAAACCGTGACCTGCAGTGAGCATGGAGCGCCAAAAGCAGTCAGTATGAGAGGTGCAATGCAAGGATGAAGGCGCTGCTCTGAGGACAACGACGCCGAAACCAGAAACGGTTAGACTTAGCAATCGCCAACCATTTGAGTGTGCATGCATCAGCACGTGTGTGTGACACATGCTGCCAAGATCTGAGCACACTGTGCAAGCTGCAACAACCGACAGCCACCCCCCGTTCAGTGTAGAAGGAGAGGCTGACCTGCACGGTGGAGAAGGCGAGTAGAGGGGAGGCCACAGTGCCCCCCAGCACGCGGCCGTCGGCGCCCACAAGGGTGGCAGTGAGCCCTCCCATGCGGCTGGAGGCGTCGGTGGGGTCGTCCGGCACGTATGAGCCCGACAGCGACACCATGTCCAGTGCTCCCTGCATGCATGCACGCACGCACGCACACACGCACACGAGCCACACTCAACACCCTTTGCTTCCTGCCTCTCAACTTCCCTCTCCATCTCAACCACCAAACCCACACCACAAAAACGCTCCACCCCATGTCGTGTGCTGCTATGACCCACCCCATGTCGTGTGCTGCTATGACCCACCCCATGTCGTGTGCTGCTATGACCCACTCCATGTCCTGTGCTGCTATGACCCACCCCATGTCGTGTGCTGCTATGACCCACCCCATGTGGTGTGCTGCTATGACCCACCCCATGTGGTGTGCTGCTATGACCCACCCCATGTCGTGTGCTGCTATGACCCACCCCATGTCATGTGCTGCTATGACCCACCCCATGTCGTGTGCTGCTATGACCCACTCCATGTCCTGTGCTGCTATGACCCACCCCATGTCGTGTGCTGCTATGACCCACCCCATGTGGTGTGCTGCTATGACCCACCCCATGTGGTGTGCTGCTATGACCCACCCCATGTCGTGTGCTGCTATGACCCACCCCATGTGGTGTGCTGCTATGACCCACCCCATGTCGTGTGCTGCTATGACCCACCCCATGTCGTGTGCTGCTATGACCCACCCCATGTCGTGTGCTGCTATGACCCACCCCATGTCGTGTGCTGCTATGACCCACCCCATATCGTGTGCTGCTATGACCCACCGCAAGTGGTGTGGCAGGCAGGGCGGTGGCGGGGCCAGAGAGGGCGGGCGGGAGGACGGAGCCATTGGCGGAGAGCACACACACCGCCCTGCCCTCCTCGCGTGACAACTCGAATATCCGCGCTGCTACGTCCTGTGCCCCGCCCATGAGAGGGCACGCCCACGGGAGGACCCACCCACGGGAGGACCCACCCAGGGGAGGACCCACCCAGGGGAGGACGAGTGATTGCGGCACGGTGGACACAGGCATGACAGGCGACTTCATCCACGCTTCTGTACGCCCCTCCCCTCCCACTCGCTTTCCACTGCGCTAGCCTCCTCCCTCCTCTCTACGATGCCATCTGCTGCTGCTCTGCTCTGCTCTGCTCGTATAAATAGGGCCCCTGCCCTTCCCATTCCCGAGTAAACAACAGGTGAGCGAAAATGGAGAGGCAATGACTAACAGAGAAAAAGAGGGCTCTAACCAGGCATTCTCAACAGCCACTTTTGGAAAAGTCCCACAGGCCTCGACCCCCACCCCTCTCATACCTCGCCACTTGGAACCAGGAGGACTCTCGGCTCCAGCGCTGCACACACGGCAAGGAGGAGGGAGCAGGGAACAGGGAGCGGGAGCAGGCAGGAAGCTGTCGCACTGGGGCGGGGAACAGCAGTCACAGCAAGGCAGCAGCCAAAGCAGAGAGGTTCGCGAGCAGCAGGGCGAGCAAGCAGCAAGGCCGGAGGTGGGAGGGGCGCACGCACAGCTGGGGGCGGCACGCGACTCGCTCCGACCCGCCGTGCTGCCCAACGGCCGACCGGGGCTTCGTCGAGGCAGACTGGGGTCTTTAGGCGGCCGTCCCGGCTTTCGCTTTGGTGAAGCTGAGTCGTTAGGTGGCCGCCCCGGCCGTCCCTTTGGCAGCGTCGGGTCTTTTGGCGGCCGTCCCGGGCCCCGCTTCGGCACGCTCGAGTCCTCCGCCACCCGCCCGCCGCGCACCTCCTGCACCCCCGAGTCCTTGCGCGGCCGTCCGCGCTTGCGCTTTGGAAGCGCGGCTTCCTTGGGCGGGTGTTTGCGCGGGCGGCCTCGCGGGCGCTTCATGGCCGGCGGGGCTTGCGACTCCGGTGGCGGAGAAAGCAGCTCCGCGGTCACCGTCGACATGCAGTTCACCGAATGGCGGGCTAAATCCCGTTAGAATCACACGCGACAACCAACTGAGCTTACTGCTGTCCTGCCAATGCCTTGCACCTCGTCTGCACTACTTGAACAGTCTAGGCCATGTCCGAACCTCTACCACCACGCTATTACTGACAAGCCGCGTTCCGAACCTTGGAAATCAGTGACGCCACACTCTAACAATGTTTGCTGTATTATTGTTTCCTGCCTCCATGGATTCCAAACGTATTTTATTCTGGTGGGCTAAGGGGTCTCACAAGTCTTCGTAATAAAATCACGGATGTACATACAACGGAGAGTCGCAAACGCTATCAGAGCAGCTACAAACGAAACACTGTAATAAGAAACTACATGGGTAGTCACAATTAGGCGTAGTTTATCACATTTAGTCACGGGGGTATCACAAACAGTCACAGTACACCTCCTAACCATCGCGTGTGATCATAGTGCTATCACGGATAGTCACACCCTGCCCCGTAATTCTATCACGTTTGGTCACAGATGAAACGCCCAATCGAGAATTGTAGCTACTCGAGTCACTGTAGGGATTCAGGAGAAATTTTATCGCGCGCGCCTTTTTTGTCCGTATTATCACGACAAAATTTCGCGACGACTTTCGGTAACTCGTTAAAAACATCTGCAATTTCTTCTTTACTATACGAATGTCCACTGCTCGATCGATGCGTAATGTCCCTAAAAATATCACTTTTTGACGGGTGAAACTCTAAGGTTAATTTTGTTCCCAATACAAAAACGAAAATTGTTCGGATGGGATATAATTCGGAAGCATCAGCCCTAAACACCTTGTCGCATAGTGTTTAGGGTTGATGCCTCGCGAAGAAGTGCCATCCAATCGGGGTTTAATTTTTTATTCTTTTCCCTAAAATTCAGGGCTAGAATAATGCGCGAGGTAACAAGCAATCAAGATTGGGATTCCCCCAAAATTCTACTGTTTCTTTCGTGGTTTCAAATTAATTTTAAACGTTTCATCGAGTGACCAAACGTGATAGCTTTTAGGGGGGAGGTGTGACCATCCGTGATAGCACTGTGATCACCTGCGATAAACATCTACTGTACTATGACTGTTTGTAATGCCCCTGTGACCAAACGTGATAAAACGGGCATAATGATGATTTATTATATAATTTCTCGGCATAGGTTCTGATGAGGATTCTTCCAGATCCGAGTTCACTCAGGCTCACCCTGCTAAATCAGCAGGTCAGGAATAGTTCCCCTATTGGCGGTTCGCTTGTTTAAGGGAATTGTGGTAGGTTTCACACCCGGACCTGTACTTGTGAAGCTCGCCGTGCTAAGGTTCGTCAGTTAAGTAGTATTTTACGAAATGTTTTAGATTGGTGTTTGCAGATTCCCAGAAGGGGAAATCTGAACCGCCCTGCGGATATTTCAGACAGCATTCACATCCAAGGTTTTGTCAGAGTTCTCGACACTTACACATCCAAACACGTCAAGGAGGATGCCATCACCAGGACCAGGACTTGAATTTGAAACTGAAGCGGGACCTGCTGGGATACATGTGATGACACCGCGGCTCATTTTCCAGACCCCGGTTTTGCAGGGTGGGAATCTCATATAGCGGGAAAAACCGCCATATCTGAAATACAAATCGCCTGCCCCGGCCCCACCACCAGAGCCTGAGCGGCAGCCAGCCCTCAAAACCAGGAAGGGTCGAAGGCAGGGTGCACTGCTACGGCCAAACCAAACCTGCCAGCACAGATTGAGCCCTCCAGCCAGACCAACTGAAAGCGAGCGAATTGGTTTGGCTGGGGGCGCGGGGGACCGAGAGGACGACGGATGGGCGGTGGGGTGGGCGGGCGCGAGTCAACGCTGGCCAGCAGGGAACAACCACCACCAAGGCAGAACTGGGCGAGAGGAGAGTTGTCTCCCTACCCCCTCAGAACGGTTGTCACTCAGCAGGGAAGCTTTCTTGATGGATGGTTGGTGTTACCTACCCTCAACTCGAAACACCTCGGACATGTCCTGTCTAGAAGGGCATTTGTTTGGAAGCAATTCTTTGTTCAGGACACGTAGTAGATATAGCGAGCTCCCGCTTCGGTGAGACGTCATGCAGTTCCAGCCATCGGACTTCTCCCAGCTTCAGCAGGCGCAGGAAGACCAGTTTAGGGTTCCGCTCAATGCAGGTATAGAGCCGTCTTTCAGGGCGGACCAGTGCGCAGCAGGACGCGGTGACGCCGCAGTATTCTTACCTCCGATTGCGGCGGACCTCTCGCAACTGCCTGCGGGCGCCATGGACTTCGCGACGCTGCCAGGCGAGCCCGCGTGGCCGCTTGGGGCTCGCGATGGGCTCTGGTTCCCCGAAGCGTCACAGCTAGTCGCTCCGCCCGTCAACGCTGCTGCGACGAATGAGTTTGGCGGGGCCGCTGGTTGCGGCGCTGTGGGCATGGACGTCGGTGACGTGGCGTCGTCGGGCGTGTCGCGGGATTTGCTGCTGCAGCTGTTGTCGGCGGGTCTCGACATGCCGTCGCTGCAGGCCATGCTCACCGCGCTCGACGCCACCACCACCGCCACCACTACCGCGCTCACCACGTCGTCACCACTCGAGTCGCAGCCAGCACAGCTGCCCCAGGTGGCTGCGGACAGCACAGCGCAGCTCCTCGCAGCAGGCGCGGCGGGTGCGGCGGCGGAGCACACGGTGGGTGGATTTAACGGCTCTGCGCCGCCGGGAAGCGGCCGCGCCACCCTGAGCCAGAGCCACAGCCTGGACGGTCGATCTGCGCTTCCGCCCGTCTCGCCGCAAGTCAACGCTCGATCTCGACCGCAGCTCACGGCGGGCGAGCGCCCCGTGCCGCTGCTGGGGTCCGCCGCTCACGGCGCGCAGTCGAGCCTGCGCTCCCGGCGGGGCCTGCCCGACCTCTCCAGCTCGCTGGCCAACGCGCGCCCCTCCGCCGTCTCCCGCCTCGCCGCTGCCACCGGCGGCAATCCCCCTCTCAGCACGGGCAAGCGCGAGGCCGAGGCGGGCATGACAGGCGGCGCAGCGCGGTGGCCGCTGTCCCCCGCGCTCAAGAGCCCGCGATCCGACGGATATCGCAGCCCCGGCGGCAGCCGCGTTCTGTCCGCCATAGCCGCGAGCCCCACGGGGCTCGCGAGCGACATGGCGCAGCTGCGCGTGCGCTCGCTGCCCACCACTCCGCTTGGCGGGGCTGCGCCCTTGCCGCTGGGGTCAGCGCGCGGCGGAGTGGGAGGGGGGCGTGCGATCCGCGGAGTCGGCAGGCAGAGGGTCGCACTCGAGAGGGTCGAGCGGCGAGCAGGGCTACGAGGTGGCGTCGGCGGGCGGGCAGGATGGAGCAGCGCGGGACGGGCAGGAGGGCGGGATGGAAGCGGGTGCCGCGCACATGGAGGAGGGCGGCGGGGCGGCAGCAGGGATGGGCGAGGGCATGGAGGGCGGCGGAGGGGGAGACGAGCTGTACGGCGGCGATGGGTTTGGGCTGGACGAGGGGGGGGACGAGGAGGCGGACGGGGAGGGCGGCAAAGGGGGGGCCGGAGGCAAGGGGCGGGGCAGGCATTCGACGAAGCCGCGCAGCGTGGCGGAGCGCATGCGGCGGGAGCGCATATCGGCGCGGCTGAAGCGGCTGAAGGACGTGATGCCGCGCACGGACGCGCGCACAGACACGTCCGCCATGCTGGACGACGCTGTGGTGTACATCCGCTCCCTGCAGATGCGCTGCGCCGCCCTCGAGACCCAAAACGCCGTGCTCGCTAAACAGCTCGCCGACGCCGCCCGCACCCGCGAGCACGCCCCGCAATAGCGCCTTCTCCCGCTGCTGCGTGCAGCTGCCACTACCCATGCCTTGCCCTGTCCTTAGCCTAGGCTGCCTGCGCCCACTGCTGACCTGCTGATCACCCCATCTGTTGCTTGCACACGAGTACATGCTATCCGCATTCTTGTATATTCAAAACTTTATGAACAACTCCACCTCATTGTGTGGAATATCGCTTGTCTTTCGCCTGTCTTCTCACTCACTCACACTCCCACTCTCCCTCCCTCCAGCTCTCTCTTCCTGCCCCTCTTGGCACTCCTCCGTCCCTCCACCAATCCCTCCCTCGCTCCCTCTCTCGATCCGCCAATTCATCCCTCGTTTCCTCTCTCGCTCTGCCCCTCCCTCCCTCACTCCCTCTCTTCCTTTCCTTTCTTACTTGCTTGCCCCTTTCCGCTCCCGTTCTACCTCCTTATCTCCCATTTATGCCATCTCCCTCCCTCCCTCCCTCCCTCCCTCCCTCCCTCCCTCCCTCCCTCCCTCCCTCCCTCCCTCCCTCCCTCCTCCCTCCCTCCCTCCCTCCCTCCCTCCCTCCCTCCCTCCCTCCCTCCCTCCTCCCTCCCTCCTCCCTCCCTCCCTCCCTCCCTCCCTCCCTCCCTCCCTCCCTCCCTCCCTCCCTCCCTCCCTCCCTCCCTCCCTCCCTCCCTCCCTCCCTCCCTCCTCCCCGCCTCTCTCCCTCCCTCCCTCCCTCCCTCCCTCCCTCCCTCCCTCCCTCCCTCCCTCCCTCCCTCCCTCCCTCCCTCCCTCCCTCCCTCCCTCCCTCCCTCCCTCCCTCCACCCCTCCCTCCCTCCCTCCGCCCCTCCCTCCGCCCCTCCCTCCGCCCCTCCCTCCGCCCCTCCCTCCGCCCCTCCCTCCGCCCCTCCCTCCCTCCCTCCCTCCCTCCCTCCCTCCACCCCTCCCTTCGCCCCTCCCTCCCTCCCCTCCCTCCCTCCCTCCCTCCCTCCCTCCCTCCCTCCCTCCCTCCCTCCCTCCCTCCCTCCCTCCCTCCCTCCCTCCCTCCCTCCCTCCCTCCGCCCCTCCCTCCGCCCCTCCCTCCGCCCCTCCCTCCGCCCCTCCCTCCCTCCCTCCCTCCCTCCCTCCCTCCCTGCCTCCCTCCCTTCGCCCCTCCCTCCCTCCCCTCCCTCCCTCCCTCCCTCCCTCCCTCCCTCCCTCCCTCCCTCCCTCCCTCCCTCCCTCCCTCCCTCCCTCCCTCCCTCCCTCCCTTTCCTTCCCCCCGCTCCCCTCCCGTTCTTCCTCCTTTTCTTCCTCCTAGGCCATCTCTCCTCCTTCCCCTTCTCTCTCCCTTCCCTCCCTCCCACATTCACTCCGGCCAACCCTCGATCCGTTCCTCTTTCCCTGCCTTTATGCTTCCTTCCGTTCTTCCTTTATTCTTCCCTCCTTCCTTCCCCTCCCTCCACCCGTCTCCTTACTCCCGTGTCCTCTCATTACATTGATCACTTCCTTCCTCCTCCCTCTTCTCCACGTCTTCACTCTTCTGCTCCCCTCCGCAGTCTTTCATGGCTGTGGATAGAAAACAGCACACTGCACAGTCCATTCAGAAATGTGGTTTGTTCTGATCTGAAGTGTCTTCAACCTGGAAACTTGGAATGATGTCTCAATGTTGGAACATTAGAGCCAGCATCTAAAATAGTTATCCCCCCCTTCTAGTTGGTGTTGGGCTGAGAAAAGCCCTTAGGATCTTTTCAAGGCTAAAATCCTAGGTAGACATGATGTAATTGCAGAAGCATTTAAAGCCCGAGTTTAGTATGGCAAGGGTTCGTAAATACAGAAATGAATTTTTTTGAAAGTGTAATGAAATGTAAAACTTTCTAAAAATGATAATTTTTGAAAGTGTAATGAAATGTAACACTTTCTAAAATTTTGTATTGTGAAAAGGGGTACGTGGCCAACACAGCAAAGGTAGCGCCGAAGCGCTACTCACCCTCTTTTGCCTACAAAAGAGGGACGTGGGGACATTCGTCCCCACCCACGTTTTCATTTTCAAAATTGTAGTTCTAATTTCGTTCTCGTCCACACTGGCGAAGACTCAGTCGCTTCCGCGTTTCACTGCCCCGTCAACGCTCCTTAACGACATCCTTAAGCGCAACCTCGCAACGATGGCTCCGGTCAACCCGGCACTTAACCGCGACAATTCGAATAATTCTAGCCCCGGTAACGCGGCGGAAACCTCGACTCCGGCCGTGACAACGGATCGTCGCGGCGGAAAACGTCCCGCCGAGGAAATTTCAAGCGAGGGACCCTCGGCGGTCGACCTCCTGCTCGGAGGCACCCTTCGGACCCCCCCTGAGGAACGCGCGACTGTTGTACAGTCGCGCGTGGCTGCTGCTGAAGAGCGCGTGCCTGGCAGGCACGCGCGTGCTGCGCAGAAGACGACGACCGCCGCTGACGCGGCGGTCGTCTTGACCGGCGCTGACGCGGGTCCATCCGGGCCCACGACCCAGAAACGCCAGCGCGCGGCACCCTCCGCTGACGTCACCCCGGTCAACGCCGCCCCCACCCCTTTGACCGCGCAGCTGTCAGAATATTATCTTATGTTCTAGCCTGTAGTGGGGTGCTCTATAGCGAGTACAACCCTTCTAGGGTTTGCTATTTGTATCCCCATTTCTGCTAGTTCAATCCTCTTTCTTTCTTCTAATTTTGTCATGCTATCAGAGCAGGTCGATCCCCTTGGATCGATCCTGTGGGTGGGTTACCACCTCGCTTCCGCTGCTACTTTTCCTTCCCGCCGTGCGCCCCGAGGCGCGCGGCGGTTTTCTGCCCGCCATGCGCCCCGAGGCGCGCGGCGGTTTTCTGCCCGCCGTGCGCCCCGAGGCGCGCGGCGGTTCCCTGCCCGCTGTGCGCCCCGAGGAGCGCGGCGGGCGTCTGCCCCGTCGTTCGTCGCGTCGCCCTCTGGAGGCGCCGCGACGGGCGACGGGGACCCGTCGCGGCCCCGCTGCCCGACCCGTCGCGGCCGCCCGCCGCCCTACCTTCGCGGCCCACCCGCCGCCCTACCTTCGCGGCCACCCGCCGCCCTACCTTCGCGGCCCACCCGCCGCCCTACCTGCGGCCACCCGTCGCCCTACCTTCGCGGCCCACCCGCCGCCCTACCTGCGACCCGCGAGCCGCCCTACCTGCGGCCACTCGCCGCCCTACCTGCGGCCCACCAGCCGCCCTACCTGCGGCCCTACCGCCGCACTACATGCGGCCCGTCGCCCTACCCGTCGCGGCCCCGGCCCCGTCCCCGCCTTCCCCCCCCCCTTTTCCCGTCGCCCGTCGCGGCTCCTTCGGGGGCCGCGGTGGGGTGTCGGGTATGGGGGTGGCCGGTGTGCCTTCCTCCCTTTGCTCCTCCTCCTCCTTCGTCTCCCACTGCTGCAGCTGTCGCTGAGGGGGGTGGTTGTGTGGGAGACTGGGGTTTAGGGTTTAAGGGGGGTGCGTGGGAGTGGAGCTAGCGGTGTAGCAGCGGGTGCGTGTCGGGGGGGTGGGACTGTTTGGGGAAGCTGCATGGAGGTTGCCGTACTGTTGTCCGCAGCACCTGTAGTCCGGGGCGCTGTCCCGGTAGCCCAGTGAGCTAGACTTCTACGCCAGCCGCCTGTGGGTCCGTTGCTCGTCTGCCGCTACTTTAGCCGCGGGGCCTGTTACTCCTGTAGTCCGGGCGCTTAGTCCGGTAGCCGCTGTGCCAGTCTGCCTCCTGTTACCCGTGTGTCTGCAGCTTCAGCCGTCGCCTCCTATCTCCTCTCCCCTCACTCTCTCTCCTCCTCCTCACTTGCCCGTTGTGACTACCACTTGCTTTGCTCATAATTGTGAACTCTAAACTATTTCTTCTTGAACTTGTGCTCAGATTGTGTGGTGACATTGTGATCCACCCTGAGCTTGTACTGCTTTGCCTGCTCTGCTGATTACACCCCACTTTGGCTATGGGGGTGTGTCAGAATATTATCTTATGTTCTAGCCTGTAGTGGGGTGCTCTATAGCGAGTACAACCCTTCTAGGGTTTGCTATTTGTATCCCCATTTCTGCTAGTTCAATCCTCTTTCTTTCTTCTAATTTTGTCAGCAGCAACTACAGACGCTGCTCTCGTTATTGCAGCAGCACGCACCGTTGACTGCAGCTACATCAGCTGAAGAAATTTCTGCGTCAGCTAAAATCGAAAAGCAGAAGGAACCTGTCGCGGCTCCCCGCTCCACCAAAATCGCTCGCACCAACAACGCTGCTCCTGCTCCCGCCCCAGCTCCGGCACCAACCCAAGCCCGTATCCCCGACGACAGCGACGACTCAGAAAATGAAGACGGTGAGGCCCCCGACAACCTTGCCCGTCGTCGCATTCTCGCACCCGCACCTCCCCTTCCCCCCCTCAACCCTTCACCCGCAGCTACTACCTTCATGCGCAAGGGAGTGCGTGACCAGGCGGAGGTGTTCTCTGCAATTCAAGCTCACCTGAGGCACGTCGAGTTCAAGCTCCAAAACGGCGACGTCGAGGGCGCGCTCTCCAACGTGGAGCAAATCGACACGTTGATCAACAAACGCTTCGAGGTGCTCTTGGTGGCGGATGAGGCTGGTTTCGAAGCGGCGGATCGGTTCCAGCTGTACCAAGCCAAGAGCGTGCTCACATCCCGCTCTTACAAGCTCGCGTTAGCCGACGTGGCGGCCCTCAAGCGTGCACGTACCGGCTTCGCCCGCGGAGGCCGCCTTCCCCCTCGAGACGGTGAACCGGAAAGCAAAGGCATGCCACCCGCGGGCTGCCACGAGCCCCGCTTCAAGGGGGTGTGTTTCCGTTGCGGCCAGCCCGGCCATATGGCAAATAATTGCCCTATGGGAGGGCGTGGCGCACAAGGTCCCGCACCCGTGGTGTGAGAGGACCCATGGGGCGGCGCCCCTTGCCACTATGCCGGGGGGCGTAGGTGGATGCACCGGTGGTGCGTAGGCTGGTTAGGAGCCTTGGGGAGTAGGATAGGCCATGGGGGCCAGGGCAAGATGCCAGCCGTAGGGGCTGGTTATGGTGTAGGCTTGGCTT